GACGCGCTATATGTGCCCTTTTTTTTTCTTTCCGCCCCTGCCCTTCAAAAAGTCTGTGCACGCCACTACATATTATGCTAATACTTCAGAAAAATATGCTGATTTACATACTGTCTTTTTAAATACTTCCCTGTGACGAATCAGTGGTCTTAACACAGAAAGTGATTGGTGAAAAGATTTGGTGTTGTCATCCCAAATCCACTGTATTAAAGGTAGACTGAAGGACATGATTAACACCTTTGGCCTTGAAAATGTTTAAACTCTGAGAACAAGAGGCCACCAATTGCATATTGTTTTAAAGCTGCAGGGATCTCAACTCCTGGCTCGGGTGCCATTTTCTGCCCTCCATCCCCTTCCTTGCAACATGTTGTCAAAAATATAATATTTAAGATAAGATTTTTTATTTATTATTTGTTCTAGTTGTTTTATACAAATTTAAACTATCCCGTCATTTACAATTAAAATAAAATAAAAACATAATTCTGTTTTACAAACGATATTTAGTTTGGTGCAAATTAATGGCAAAGGTCAATGGTGCCCAGAAATGCATGCAAAGAAGAGATCTAGTTATAGACCTTAATTTAATTTGGATTTTTGGTAAATATGATGTTAGTAATGGAAATATTTTCAGAATATTTTGCTTTCTTGTAGTACAGAACATAGCAGTGGCCCTCTCATGACAAGACAAGCAGTGGCCCCAAGCAAATTTGAAATTGAGACCCCTAATTTAGAGGCTCTCCACTACACCAAGAACACAACTATGATGGAAACAATGAATACTTTTTATATTTTATGTTTTTATATTTTTGCAAGGATTTATAAATGTCAAATATTAAACATACACAGAATATCCGCTAAGGGGAAATCTAAAGAAATAGTTGGACATTTTTCGAAATGTGTTTATAAGCCATCTTGCCAGATGTGACGACAAGATTGATACCATTATCATGTAAACATGGAACCAGCAGGCGGTTAGCTTGGTTTAATTAGCAAAATGTCCAACTATTCCTTTAATGCAGATTGGTGAAATCTAATGTGTTTGGACACACTGACAAAGGAACACTCCATCAACAGTACAGCACAAACCACTTGTCACATGTGACAACAGACCCTTTCTACAGCCCACATTTTGACACAGCGAAGGAAACACAGGTGTAAGTAATAAGATAATGATGGCTCAGGGCACAGACACACAGAAAGTGGCAGGCCCACCAAGAAATGGCGACACCTCCCCCACTCAGCTGCCGGTGAGTAGATCCATCGAGCTGTCAATCAAAATGCAGTTTACTGCCGCTTCCACTGCTGTTGCTATTTTGGCTCATGATACAAATCAGTGCAGAAGCTGTTTCTGATCAATGTTGTAAATAATGAGCTGTTAATTACACTGATTTACAATAAAAATAGGACCCATGTCACAGGTCACAGTTAATATATTTAAAGTTTACCCTGCACACTGACATCTATCATTGCTGGTTATCCTGATTTCTTTTTTGTGCCATTTATTTTTTAATCATCAGTAACTTTACACCAACAAATTACAGACAATACAACAGGCTGTCAGTTACATTGCGATTGTTTAACCCAGCTACATTTCCAGCTCACTTTCTATGTGTTTCTACCCTATGTTCCAAGTGTCCAAGTAGGCCACTGCAGTGAAGGAGCATGCAACCATGTATCCACACTAGAACTGGATAAGCTAAATGTAATGCAGTTTTTATTAACATTATAAATAACACCTGTGCTTTTTTCTGACAAAACGAACATCTCTAGGTTCATAGGGAATTTAAATTCTATCGCTGCATTGAGCTACGCTGAGGAAAATGGATTATACTGCAGTTTCTAGGGATGTTTTTATGCATTTTTTTCTGTGTCGCAATTGGAAAACCATCCATTCATCCAACCGCTGTGACAAGCTGATGTCAGTTAGCTATATGAAGTTAGTTAGGTTAGTTAAGTTAAGGCTATAAACTAAAAGTCTACAGTCAGGTCTTGATACTCAAAACATTTAGTAGGTTTGATACTGAATCACTAATTCTAAGTGTGTTCCACTTGAAGCAGAACCTGCGTTAACCACCTGGTTAAGGTGTAGCCAAGCGTTTGAATCACTGCAATCAATGCAGCACTCAGATCAGCATTTAAAACTGCAAAATCAATTGAATTCATTTGAACCGCTGCAATCATTGGATCCTACAAGTACAATTTATGTAAACTTTGACACACAAATTCACTTAGCTGTGATACCTTTATATAATGCTGCTCTGTTGGAATATTATTGCTCCCCTAAAAAAAACATAGTTTGCAGAGCTGAAGGCCGTCCACACCAAGAACAATAACTATAACAATAACTATAACAATAAGAGCAATGTGAGCATCCACATCTCCTAACACATCACTACCAAAAGATGCCAAAGACTTTTTGTTTGGCAGTATGTCTCAGGTAAAATTAAGTTTTTTTAATGTCTAATGTGCAGCCTAAAATTATGTTATCCAATCGTTTAATAAATTGTATACCAACTTAAAATCACTCTGAAAGTGACCCCAACGATATCGTTCACTACTGTCATTATTGTTATAGTTGTGTTGTGGACTCATCATCCAGTGAGTTAGAACAACATTTAAAATGATATATAGTTATAGTTGGTCTGGACAGCCCTTTAGACAGCATCCAGACATAATACTGCAATGGATGTTTGAAGTGGTGCATAACAAGCCATGATAGGCCTACAGCGAAGGTAAGAGTTACTGTGAAAGATTGTGTGGAAACATTTAAAATAGTTTATTTAAATCAGCCAATTATCAATTAGCTTCAATTCAATCAGCCTTAATTCCATTCTTTAAACTTTTTCCACATTGATGTTTGGCTACTGCCAGTGAAACTCCTCCACATTTCACATTGTTCACATTAAAAGCCTAAAAATAAAGGGACTTTTAATGTTAAAACTTTGCTTGAAGTGTTGAGTTTCGTTTTCTAGCTTTATATCGATTGAGAAAACGTCAAAGTGGAAGTGACTGGAATCAGTGCGTGAATATTATAATGCCATGAGGGGTAGTGTCCCTCGCAGTGGCTGCAGCAAGGACTACAACCCATCATGGTGTCCATTAAAAGACTACAAAACCCATATTTTATATTTCTACGATATTTATTTTTTATATTTATATTTGTATTCACTCTCTACTCTTTTGCACTACATTCCCCGGGGCTGCTGTGCCAAATTTTAAGGAGTGTCTTATCTTATCTTATAGTCAGCAGGGCAGTTAGGACAATTGTTGCTGCCCAGCTGAACCATAGTTGATTGCCCATAGTGGATGAGCTAGAAGAGACACTCACTATGTTTGCATGCACACTAATTTTCCACTAATATGACAGTATTCCACATTTGATAAGGGTGATGTAAACAGCATTTTCTGTTTGGATATTGCTAATTATTTAAAGAAATCATTTCTTGATGCAAAGAGGCAAAATGGCTGCAGCATTTAATATGACTGAAGTTTGAAAAGGAGAGAGAAGGAAGAGGAAGGTAATTCGTATGTCCTTAACAGGAGTATGCACAGCTGCATGTAAACGGTAATATCAGTGGAATATTCATTTTCATTAGACATTTAAACAGCTTAGTAGAAATACTGCCTTTTTCGGAATAAGGGCAAAATATAGTTTGTGTATGTGAACAGTCACTGACTGAACTACTAGTTATTACCAATAAGACAGCGAACTAGAAATTTTTTATTTCTTATTTATTTTTATTTCTTTATATCAGATTCAAATATCTGTTTTTGTTTGCAAGAATGAAGCTGTCTCTTGGCTAGGTCATCATTGTAAATGAGAATTTGTTCTTGACTTATCTGGGTAAATAAATGTAAAATGAAAATGAAAAATAAATGAGAAGAGTGTATACACTGACACTTTTGTTGTCCTAATTTCCTGCAGCCCCGCCTCAAAAGCTCCAAGAGAGAAGCCCCCAATCTCTCAAGACATCACAATATAAACTGTATTTCAGTTTAGAGAAAGAAAAGAGAGACTCAGGGCAGCAGTGTGTTGAGTATGACACAACTATGTTGTTGTACTGATGGAATTAGTGCTGTGGAAATGTGACAGGTAGTTAAAGGGTGTTTTGAAAATGCTTTAACTGGGGCGATAGAGGAAATTATACAGGAATAAAGCATGTCTCTACTATAAGCCTGTTGTAGGCCTGGTTCTCTCTGTCACTGATGTAAATAAAGGCCACTATTTGAGAATTTACAGTTTAATGATTTATTAAATAAAAAAATGTATGAACAGCAGCTTTAAATTATCTTTTTCTCTGCTGTTGCCAAAATGCAAAACATGTAGGTTCTGTTCATATTAGGAGGATATGTTGTGTTTTAGAATACATTCCTCATCCTTTTCTTAAGCAGTTCCAATGTGTTGACTTCCCGGCACAGTTCAGTCCTAACTATGGACTTTTGTAACTGTATCAATGCAAACTAGACTGGGCCAACAAATCGTCCTGGATTTTAAACAAACAACAGTTTCTTTACATACCTCACAATTAACAATACCAACTTGCACACCAAGGTCTGGTAATAATACTCTGGACAGTATGATGTACAGACATATAAAAATTATACTTTTAATGGCTGACACATGAATTACGATTTGTATTTCAAATTAACTAGCAAAGCGTACTTGTTGCTTAGCACCCTCCTACTGCCTAAAAAGTGCTTTTTGACACATCTCTCTACTGAATAAGGCTGTTGGCTAAAAAAATATCTCTTAAACGATGCGCTTGCAACCACATATAAAGAACAACTTTGGTTTGCTCCAGTACAACCGCTACGAGGACAGTGAACAGTGAAGACTGAATGCGGGACATTCACATAGAAATAACTTGGCTGTTTTGTTTCTTTGCTGTTTTTTTTCTTCTGTGTTCCTTTTTTATACAACAAAATAGATCCTCTGAACGGTTAACTTGCATGGCTGGAGTCCTGTTAATCATAGTCGTCATACTCTGGATCCATGTTTTCACCCTGGTAGTACGTCCCCTGTGTGGAGTAGGATCTTGTCTTCATTGAGCAGTTGGTATCCATCAAAATGGCCTGAAAAGACAATTGTCCGAAACTGTAGTCATTTTTGTTTTAGACTTCAGTTAGGTTTGCCACCTTCAATGTGAAGAAATAAGGGACACTATGCAAGTGGCCAAATTAAGTAGCAGTGTTTTCCTGCATTTTGGTCAAATTTTCAGCTGGAGTTATTCACCAACATTAAAAAAAAACATGCATCTGAATAACCAGGGCGGATGACGAGCTGTCATTCAAGGTGTCATTCTCTTCCACAAATTGTAGTTTAATACTAGTTGCTATGTCTCGTGAAACTTTTGGTTTTATTATTGCCAATGTAATTCAAAGCATGTGAAATGTAGTGTATGCATTGGAGAAGCATGTGCACAAAAATATGGGATAAAATGCGTACCATATTGAGTCAGTGAGGGTCGATCCTGTATTGTACAGGATGGCAACCCTAACTTCAGTTCGTGTTTCAGATTTGAAAAGGACCTGGGATAAATTATCCAGATAATTCTATAATCCTACTATGTGTAATATGAGTTTATATTTATATTCTGTGCCATTAAAGGCCCCATGTGTAAGATCTGAATTAAAAAATGATCCCACTGCAGCAAATTAGTGGAGGTATTTGATGTGGATTAGTAATGTCTGATTGATTCCATATGTAAGATTCTGAAGCATTTTACATATTACTTTATGTATTAATCACTTTTTAATGAATCACTTTTTACTGAGCGAACGGGTTGTTGCGTAACTTAAAAAATGAGACCTTCCCCAACTTTCTCTGTTGCCTGTGGACTGAGTGGATGTGTTTTATGTGATGTTTATGTGCCCCTGAGTGCCTTCTCTCTCCACTTCCCTACAGTGTGCAACACTACCTAACGTTGTCTCATAAGGAGGAGGAGTCCACTAATGTCAACAAACGACCAACACAAAGTCCAAAGTCTAACATTACTGTAAGCTTTGTCAAATACATTGTGGTTTTAGCTGGCTAACATTAGCTAGCTTGCTAACGTGGACAAATTGCTAGCTAGCTAATGTAGCCAAATACTGTCAGCTAGCTTTATCCAGACTCCCAGACATCTTGCTGGCTTGTCATTTGCAGGGTACTTTGTCAGCTGGCACTGGGCAGCTGGTGCTGAAAAACATTATTCAGCAACCTTAGCTTGCTTGCTAATGTTTGCTAGCCAAATACTATCTGAGTGGATATGTAAGTTGGCTAACGTTAGCTTCCCCAGATAACATGATCCATGATACTCATTTATGTATTATGACAAATGGTGTTGATTTTAGCCAACAATAAATGTGAACAGTACAAAGCTAACGATAGCTTTCTATTTGCCAAGAGCAATGTGAGGTAGGGGCATCAAACTAGCTAACTCTAGCCTAACCTAAGTTGGGGTTGTCCGGCTGGCTGTGTCTTGGCTGCGTGGTGTGGGTTGTTTTATGTTGGCTGATGGGGTGATTTGTAAACAGCAAGCTAGTTAGTAGCATGGAGTCAATGGTCCAAATAAAATAAAGGAATATTGCAGATAGTAACGTTATTCTTAATATGATTTTCATTTATTTACCAGTGTTCAGTCTAGTGTTTGTCACTTTTGGCCAATGCCCTGGATGATGCGCCTACAGACTGTGTGCAGGCAACAGGACTCTGACTGCAGTTCAATTTATGGCCACTGGTGGCACTGTTAACAACGGTTTTCTGAAAGTTACATATAGAATCTTTAATGAGATCAGAATCAGGCCAATCACGATCTGACCATCCATAGTAAAATTAAACGGCAGAGTTAAAAGATTCAAATACTGATGGAGAAAACTGATGGGGAAATGGCAGATGAGAATGGATATCAGATCATGCAGGTGGAGCTGCAGGATGAGGTTCAGCCTCAAGCATGCAGGTAGAGATTTGCATGTCCAGTGATGATAAGGAAATTCATAGTTTATCTCCAGTCGCTAAAGTCTGTAAAACATGACAGCATGTGTTTAAAGCCCTGAAAGAAAATGTCAACTTGGCAGCTCCTTTATTTAGGTAGTTAGGTAAATTGTGTTATGGGGGTATTTTGGCAAGATACAGATAGAAACATCAGCTCTTTTTTCTGGCATTGCCATACTGTATGACTGTGGAATTTTTTAGCATCTCTTTTAGTTTTTATGGAACCACATGTCAGAACAATGTCAACAAAACAGATTTAATTAAGGACACTGCAAGAAAAAATTGTTATTATCAATCCCAGCCAACTAAGCAAGAAAGCTTTTAAACTTGTGTTTGTTGACCTCAACTTCCAGGGCTTCTATATGTCTGTGTTTATGTAGGATTTGGTTGACTATATTTCGGTGTGTTTTGAATCTTACAATTTTCTCTTCTTGTCCTGGAGGATTCCTGAGGAAGAGGCAAAGAGGAGCAAAGAAAATATCTACTATTCCAATTATGGTCATCAGCCAGGGGAAGCCAATGCTCTCAGCGATGGATCCTCCGATAGATGGACCTGGATCAGGAGAGAACAGATCAAATAGTGCTTTAGTTTGTTTCGTTTGGCTGAGGTCAGCTCCGTACTGACAAGATCATATAATGGTAACAACAAGGTAACATTAGGGTAAATAGAAGTAGTAACCAAGTAATACATCCCTCATCCTCCATCCTTCGACCCTCATCCGTTCATCCCTTCATCCCTCAACCCTCTGCCCATCCCATCATCCCTCCTACAGTATATTATATTGGTTCACGTTCAAGTCCATATCCTCATTGCTGTGGTCTTTGTTTGTGAATGTAACTTTAAAATTAGATAGTAGTGCTGGGGTACAATGGTGTGGTAATATTTTCTTAAAAAACAGGATGATTGCAGGGTAATAAGGTAATCTGCTAATACCTTTTCCCTCCCCATTCCAAATATTTTCTTTAAATGCGTTTAAATTGAATAAAATTAGCTATATCTATATATATAAAAAGCAGATTTTATTATTGTATATAATAGTAGTAGTCTAAATGAATCAGTTATAATTAATTATGTGTGTAGGTATTTAAATGATTACTGAAAGCCTTCACTTTAGAGCTATCATAACCTGGTTAAGCTTTGGTGTTTCTGGTTCCTGCTTACCTAAAGCAAACCCCATGCAGAAAGCCACATCAGCAATGGCATACACACTTCCATAAACAGACACGTGCCGCAGGTCCACAAGGTAACCCATTATAGGCATCATAGAGGAGTCCACCATGCCTGTAAAACACCACAAACAATGAAGATCTTACGCATATTTGTTTGCACAGTAACAGTTGGCTGAAATTGGTTTAGTGGTGCCTTAAGAAGTTAATATACTGATGATGATTTTTGCCCCAGTTTTTTATTGTTTTTTTCAAGCAGCCCATCCAGCAAAGGTTAAATGCCTGGGTTATACGGTGACATGTAAGACTAGTTCTGCATATTTAGTGCATATTTAGTTCACCCCAAAATGGGTTAGTAGTATTTGTACATTGTCACTTAACTTCTGATGCTTGACTTCAGGCAGTAAGGATTATTATGAAAATAACATCAGCCACAGAAGAGGTGCCGATTTTGCAATCAATGCTGGACCCCCACAGACAGGTCAGATATCTTCATAAAGATGCATTTTGAGTAAAGTCTTCCTCAGTCCTTACTGCATCCACTCATGAAGAGACAACTATATCATGTCTTCACCATCATTGGGCATTTTATTTTTATTATTGTCATCGTGATTGTTGTTATTGTTGTTATTTTAGTTTTATATGATACTACATTGGTCTATATTATTGAACAATATGGAATATGTCTGTCCAGCCCTGGAAACATTTGTAGAAAAGCCTGATGAAAAGATTTTGAAAGAATACTTACCAATAGCAAAACCAACACCAAAGTTTGGAAGAATCAGACCATAGATGTCTGTAGCAAATGGAACCTAGAACAGAGAGACCAATACCAGAAAATGCATTTATCTGTTCAATTTTAATGTACGTATAGGAATGAGGAATATGAAATGTTTCCAACAAATCACACATTAAGACTTTTAATTTTTAATAATTTCAAACTGCAACATTTCTGCTCCATTTTAAACTCTTACTGACACCTCAAATATCCAAAAGAGGTATTCACACTAATGGTGTCTCCCTCATACTTACACATATTATACTAATTCCAACCACCATTATTCCAATGAGAGCACAAAGCCATCTGTAAGGAAGAGAAGAGCATGAGAACATTAATCTCTGCAGAAAGTTAAAGGAGGATGTGAGTTTTTTTTTTACATGCTTATAAACAGTGTTTATTTACATAGGCTGGATGTAATAATACCTTAACATAATAACTCATTATGTTCATTTTTTCTTTTTAGGTAAACAGAGTGATGTAAAATCACCACACATTGTTGAATAGCTGTGAATGAAGTTTAGAAGTTGTTTTATTATGGTCAGCACATCATATACTGATGAAAAAGGAAATAGGGGTTTATGGTACTAGCAGGAATCACCATCATGACAGGAAATCATGCTACGATTCCCCTCACCATTCCAAACATTGCCCCGTCTCATCTCAAAATTCTACTTGATACTACTGTAAGGAATGCGTATGTAGGAACCACCAATTAGAACTGCATTAAAGGTCCAGTGTGTAACATTGAGAAGGATCTATTGTGTTTTTGTTACAATCCTCTTCCATGAAGCCCACTATGTTGAACCGCCATGTTTCTACAGTAGCACAGAAGCGACAAACCAAACACTGGTTCTATTTTTGTGGCCACCTTAGTTTCTCCTAAATGCTTGGGAGGATGAGGTGTATTCAAATTACCTAAATTCACCTCACTGAATCCTTCACTCTGGTCCTCAAAGTTCTACATGGTGTCATGGATCATTAGTGAAAAAAACTCACAATTTCATTTTGTGAATTCGTTTTGTGAATGTTGCTCTTATGTGATTGTGAAAAAAAGGTGGTGGTGAGTAAAGCTGTTAACTTACTACAGTATGACAACAGTTATACCCATTCTGAAGAGGTGCTTTAACCAATGTAATCTTGATTTTTTTAATAAGCTTCTTTAAAAAAATGTATGAATAAGAAATATTCCATTATGATCTTCCTAATGAGCCAAAAGTTTTTTTTCCTTCCTTCCTTTGGAGGTCTCATTGTTACTCATTACTCCTTAAAAATCCCCTGTATGTATTAAGATATAAAATAGTGTAGATATGTTTTTTTTCTGCAAAAAAAATCCACATAAAAATCCTTAAAAATTAATTTACTCCTTTTACATTTTTAAAAGTTCCAGTATGTATGATTAATAAACATAATAAAAAAATCCAGATAATACATAATACGTAATACAGACAGAGAATTGTATAAAAGGTTTGTAGCAACCGATAATGTA